CTGTCACAGGAGAGCTCCTTGAAGGAGTCCCTTTAAACAAAGAGCAGGAAGAGATTTCCAGAGCCTCAAATTCTCACAAAACCAGTCATGAATTTTAGATACACAACCAGGATATTGCTGCAAGCAGTTGAAATGTTCAGGGGGAGGGTGAGGAGGGCAGGGGAGGCTGCTCTGACCCTGTGTGTGCCCCCAGTGTGTGAGATGAAGTCTCCCTCCATGAGCGATTTCCTGACGGGGCTGGAGAGCTCGGGCTGGTTGCGGCACATCAAGGCTGTCATGGATGCAGGAGTCTTCCTGGCCAAGGTAAAGCTGCTCCCACAATGCACTGCTGCAGGGCTGGCAAGGGGGCTCTGAGGACAAGGTGGTGTTCAGGTTGGTTTCATCTCTCCAAAAATTGTGCAGCTGCTGGGCAAATACAGGTCCTGTGCCATGTGTCAGGACTTTCTTAGAAAGTCTTTCACATTATGTGAAACACAAGATCACAAAATGTGAATAAATTACCTTTATAAACCTTTCTATATAGCAGTGCAAACAACTAACCCTGTGCTCATTATTCACCCACTGCTCTGCTTGAATTGAGGGATTGTTTTGACTGGTTTGTTTTCTCCTGGTTTGATGTGATGTGGACACTTAATTTGGATTATTCAACACAGTCCTCATTTCTGCAGAGCTGGTGGCTTTGCAGGTCAGGCAGAAGGAAGGAAGTCACTCAGGAGTAGTACAGGGTGTGCAGGAAGTGTGTGGTGAGAGGAGTGAGTGGTAAATGTTGGTTATGTCACAATTTGCCCACATCACGAGCAAGAAACTTTTGTGTCTCTCCTGCCCTAAGTGGCAGAAGGTGATGGGATAGGGAGAAGCTGGCATCAACTCTTCTAATTTATCTGAAGTTCTAATCCCTGGGTGTCCAACCATTTTTTTACTCATCCACCAAATTTTTTCCTCAAGGAAGAGCCTGGGAATCCTTGGCCTTGCAGAGATCACAGGGTGTGACCGTGCTCACAGGGGTCTGAGGGTGAGGGAAGGGATGAGGATCTGACTCCAGGTTTCAGAAGGATGATTTATTATTTTATCATATATTTTATATTAAAACTATACTAAAATAATAGAAGAAAGGATTTCATCAGAGAGCTGGATAAGAATAGCAAAAGAAGGAATGAATAACAAAGGTTTGTGTCTGGGATAGAGTGTCTGAGCCAGCTGACTGTGACTGGCCATTAATTAGAAACAACCACATGAGACCAATCCCAGATGCACCTGTTGCATTCCACAGACACAGATAATCATTGTTTGCATTTTGTTCCTGAGGCCTCCCAGCTTCTCAGGAGGAAAAATCCTAAGGAAAGGATTTTTCATAAAAGATGGCTGTGACAACAGGGGCTGTTTTTACCAGCCTGCTGCAGCACTTGGGGCTGGGGCTTTTGATGGACTGGTGCATTTCCACAGGCCAGAGGAGAGATGGCCCCATTCCCCCAGGGTTTTGGGGTGGTGCAGCCTCTCCCTGAGCCCTGTGCTGTGTCCCTGCAGGCTGTGAGGGAGGAGAGGGCCAGCGTGCTGGTGCACTGCTCCGACGGCTGGGACCGCACGGCCCAGGTCTGCTCCCTGGCCAGCCTCCTGCTGGACCCCTTCTACAGGACCTTCAAAGGCTTCATGGTAAGGACATGCTGCACTTCAGAGCCAGCAGGCCCTGGGGGAGGGCTCAGGCCATTTCCTGGGACAAGGATGGGTGACCTACATAAAGCAGCTTTGGCTCTGTAATGAGCTGCAAGTGCTGTGAGCGGCACGGCAGCAGCTGATTGACAATTCCCAAATCCTTGTTTCCTGCAATGTCTACATGGGAGCCACTAATGAGAGATCTCAGCAAAGGATGCAGCTCTGGCAGCAATCCACCAAAAAAGCTGGAGGAGTTTGTCCTGCAGGTCACTTATCTGCTGGGATTTGAAATTGGGTGAACTCAGCCCTGTCCATCAGTGACATCTCCATCATTTCACACCTTTTTTAAAGCCATTTAGTTTTCATTTGGCTGTTTGCTTCTAGTGCAGGCTTTTTCTTAATTTGCAGCCATCCCTGCCTGAATTCAGGGCAGTCTGTGATGTTTCTTTCCATTCATCTCTGGTTAAATACCTGAGGAGCTGCTCTGTCACAGGAGAGCTCCTTGAAGG